CCCCCCCCTTCCGGACAAAAAAATCATCTCTCTTTACCCTACCAGACGCCATCTCGGTCTGTATCTGTTAATCAAGTCGTCCTTTGTGTCTGGCTGGAGTTTTTATATTCTTTCTTCCGTTCTCTGAGATCAATATCATATTTCCATAGAAGTTACTTCTTCGAGGACCAAACTTACAAATAACCTATCAAACAGGAAAGGATTTAACTTCAAGCTTGAGTTAGTGACATGTTGTTAAACAGCCTGAGCTTCTCAAGTGGCTGTTGTCGCAGGTGAAAGTTGTAGTGTTGCTGCAGCATCTGCTGGTGGAGCTGTTCAACTTTTCCAGGACGTAGCGGGCACATACGCCCGATTAGCAGCAGACCAAAGGCAAAGTTGAGACATTATATTTCGAATCATCATACACAGACCAGAAACACAAATTTGCATAATTCACAGTATGCACGTTGTTGCCCGCCTTCTCAAGTTTCAGATACAGAAAACAGACGCAAAAATCTGAATGGATAACGAAGGTACGATTTTTTAAAGTGTCCCAGAACAGGATGCTTTCTAGTTTTGTCGAATAACCAGAAAAAAACACGCGTCCTCAACGAGTTACGGCCAGTCAGCACAACAACGACCATATTTTATTAGGAACTGATTATTATGACATGAGGGTAGACAGAAAAGAAATAGGACCGGATCAAGCCACGGCATTGCTCTAGTGGCCTCCTGTCCAAGACAATCACCTTTACAAACAAACTACAACTTCCTATAAACCACCCTGTATTTTTTAAAAAATATAATTATACTGACACTGTCATGACATGTAGGTTCAAAGCGGCCCTCTCCAAAATGATAAAAATCATTTACAAGATCTCCTCCCCACGGAGTTCATCAACACTCCCCTGCATTGCATCACATCTGTCCCCACAGAATCACCTCTTGTGTCCCTCAGTGGATTACTCGGTTCCTGCTCCCCCACCCCTCATTTCTTTTTTCTCCAACAAATCGCTGAGCCGGGCCATGTTCTGTTTTGACTGACCCCATGACCCAACAGCTCAACGACTTGTCCGAGGACGTGCAACAAACGACCGACATGGCATCCCCCCTGGTGACCGCGGCGCTCGGCGGATTAAAGCTGCCACTCACCGTCTGCCACACTCAACTGCTAGCGCTACACGGGATCGTAAACGAGCGCATGGTAGGTAGTTAAAAGAACAAAAACAACTTTCGCCCTTTTCTTTTAATTTTGTAATAAGCGATGGATACCGCGGGGTGCAAATGGGGGCAAGAGTAACACCGATGAACATTGTTAGATTTGGGAATTTGTTTGTTGAAACAGAATCATATTATTAATTCCAAACTAACAAAATCGACAGCAGCCACTTCACATACGGGTTCTTCAGTTCTCTCCTCGTTAATTCATTCATAGAATAAAACCAAACAAAATCACGGCCCTTTCACCACCCGCCATAACCAGCAACCGTGTCAGAAGGCATACCTGCAGTCACTTCAACTGCGCACGCTCTGCATTCTATGTCGTCAAGATAAAATTTATATAGATTCGATCAACATTCTTGCTATCTAAAAAATACCAAACGTACCAAGCGAGAAATGCACGCACCAGTGGAAACAATTCTTTTACATTCTTACACGTTCGCGGCTAAATGCGCTTGAAAAGAAACAACTCAGTCCGCAATACACATACACATGAAAGCCCTTCTTCCTTCCCTGGATTTTTTTTTATCCCCTTTTTCCATCGCAACATCTCAGACCGTATACACTGAAGTTTTATGAGTCGTGTCGTTATAAAATTGCTGGTTTAGCCTGGCAACAAAAAAATTAGAATTGAGCTCTTCCAAGTCAGTGGCCACAATCCTGTCGAATGGAAAGCAGCGGGAAAATGTGTCTGTAACTGAAGGTAGACAAGGACACAGAAGGTCAATCGTAGCACCTGGTACTTTCACAGAGTTTTAGTCGGTGTAAAATAAAAAGAAACACACCCACACGATAACGGCCTAAAAGTACGGAGAAAGTAAAATGTTTCAATTTGAGCAAGGAGAAGCACATGGGCACAATAACGGCCACATGGCATAAGACAGACAAGCAGAACTAATTGAGCGAAAGATGGCATTATCCAACCATCCGCAAATTTCGATGACGTTCAGAACAAAAATTATAATAAAATAATATTAAAAACCACCCAAAAAACAACAATTTAATAGATTTATGCATGCCTTAACACTACAGCAGTGCTTTATACAACGAGCTACCTCCGCGCCTCGGGCAATAGCATTACAAACTTTTTAAAGAACAAAATATCTTTCCTATGATGCTCCTGATTAACAATATTTTTCGTGCGCCAGATATGAAGATAAAAACATACAGAAAGACACGGGTCGGAAACACAAAAATCGTTTTTAAAAGAACATTTTCATTCTGAGAACACTAAAGTATATATGAGTAAAACGCAAGAGCTCCAAAAATATGGTGCGTCCGTCAGGAGGAGCGGAGAGACAACATACTGGTAGGGGAAAAAAATTTTTTTTAACCAACCCGAAAATCCCCACTCGTACCTAACCCTCTACCTCCTGACCACTGGTCAAGCTGGTCACAAAGACACCGCAGCATCCACACGTCCCCTCTGACCAGTGTCCGACTGGTCAAGACATCACGTGACACCCCCCCCCCTCTACAGCAGGATCAGAGTGAGCAAACATTCCGGGGCGACATGCCACCGGGAGAGATCGTTCTCCGGCCGCACGCCACTGGCCTCTCGCTGGACACGGACGGTCAACATGAGCTGGCGTCACTTCCGGAGAATGCAAGGGAACGTTGCATTTTTGAGAATCAGCAGAGGGTTGAAAACTGACCTCTAAACTATTTACGAAGCAAAGACATTAAAGGACAAATACAAAAAGACGTCAAGAAAGAGAAAACGTTAATATGAATAACTAATGCAGACTTAAAGCGTCAGTGGTTTATTTGATTTACCAAACAAACATACACTTCGTCATGAACAGACCGGGATAACAATACCATTAGAAATAGACCACCTAGCCGACGGCCCAGCAGACACCCTTAAGAGTTTAGGAGCAACAGTTCACGTTGTACTCCTGCTATGGGGGCCACTGGGTTCGGCTGTCTGTAACCTACATTTATCATGGTGGCCCGCCATTCTTTTTGTTTTGGTAAGAGTTTTCGGTTTTTAAA